TTATGAATGTTTTCTGGTGGGTATTAATATGTGATACAAAAATATTAACACTTTGTACCTACTCCCATATGTGGGAGTACCCACATGCCTCTACACCAGACCCCCTTGTCACCAATGTTTTAGTACTTTTCAGGCCCATAACCACAAGGCCAGAAGGCCAGGTTATTTATTGCCCCTCAGATTTGAATTCACTATTCAAAACCTGCTCTGCAATAATGGATTGAATTCTAAATATTTTATCCATTACAAGTGAGGGTGATGCTAAACCTTGCCATTAGAGGACACCAAGAGGCACATTGAGGAAAGAAGAGATTCCTCTGGAGTGTATGGTGTTTTACTTTTGCCTATTCCTGCTGCACAGGGAATATGAACATGGATGTAAACTATTACTGATGTGAATGGAAAACAATATATTCCCAATCAGTGGCCACATACCATGTGCTTGAGATTTTATTAATCACTTCCAGAAATGATACCACATCTGACACATTGATTAGAATTAGGTATACAGTTGACCCTGGGACAACACAAGTTTGAACTTCTCAGGTCCACTGTTACGCAGATTTTTTTCAATAAATATATGTAGGGCGCCTGGGTGGCTCAGATGGTTAAGCGTCTGCCTTCTGCTCAGGTCATGATCCCAGGGTCCTGGGATCGAGTCCCGCATCGGGCTCCCTGCTCCTTGGGAGCCTGCTTCTCCCTCTGCTTCTCTCTCTCTCTCATGAATAAATAAATAAAATCTTTAAAAAATAAATAAATAAATATATGTACAGTAGTGTAAATGTATCTTCTCTTCCTTATGATTTTCTTAACCACACTTTTTTCTCTAGCTTACTTTATTAGAAGAATACAGGATATAACACATATAACATACAAAATACTTATTAGTCAAGTGTTCATGTTATAAGTAAGGCTTCTGGTCAACAGTAGGCTACTAATAGTTAAGTCACGGGGGAGTCAAAAAAGTTACACATAGATTTTTACCATGAAGGGGGGGTTCAGCACTCCTAACCCCCATGCTCTTCAAGGGTGAACTGTATTGTTAGATATGGCAGCATTAGTCTGATCATTTATCAGGTTCCATCTGGTTTCCACCAGGACCAGACTGACAAATTAAACAAAAATATGATGGATACCACCACCCCTGCATTTTAACAGTGATACTAATTTCCACTACCTCCTGTCCCCAAGATATGTTTGTTTTTTGTTTTTGAGTAGAGTTGACACAGAATATTATATTAGTTTCAGGTGTACAACATGGTGATTCAACAACTCTATGCGTCATGCTATTCTCACCACATGTGTAGCTAACATCTGTCACCATACAAGATATGTTGTTTTTTATTTACTATCTTGGCCAATGGGGGATGGTATGAGTCAGGGGTTTACTTTTGGTCTTTTCTACTAGGAGAGCTTTTACTCCACAGGTCAGGAATTCAATGTGGGATTACTCCAACTGTATATCAATTCCAGGTATGCAATAGAGAACTGGGGAAATGACCGATGGACCTATCTATAGACCCAGGAGGCAACTGTGAGCCAAACTTTAGCCAAGAACCAATTTATTACCTGGGTCTCCTAGGCTCAAATCCAACAGGTGCTGATGATACTTTGAGTATCAAAATCAACCCAGAATTTGTGTCAATTATCCTCAAAATATATTGTCAGTCCCCTTCTGCCAGTGTACAGACACAAGTAATTGGTGTTAGCTTCCTTTAGGGAAAGATGGGAGGAATCACGACAGTTTATACTTTCCATGGAGTTGAGGATCTTCCCAACAAGGAATCAAGCCAGATTCTCAGTCGATGGGTTTCATATCTAAAAACTGGTTCAGGTCTGGGAACTGAAACTCAGGGATTGTGATTTTTTACTGGAGAGATAATCCTTGGTCTCCTGTTGTTCTTGCTTTCTCTTTATTATTGATGTAAGCAACTCCCTAGTTGGCTGCCAGTCTATTTTGCATCTAAAAAGCCTCAGTCCTCTATTTACTGTCTGCAAAACTACCTATGAGTCAAGTCCCCTTGGCTGTTCCTCCACCCATACTGATCACAACGGTAATTATAGCCTCTTGGATTCTGGCAGCTAAGCATTACCCCCCGGCCAGCACATCACCATCTGTCTTACGATAGGATTTAATCCTAAGTATTGGCCTAGGAATCAGAAGAAGAGATGGGAAACTCCTACGGGATAGCGGTGGAGGCACCTATTGCCTTGCGGGGAAGAAATTTCTGCAGCATCTTCAAGCACAGTGGCTTCCAATCACTGAGCAGAGGAGGTGGGTGTAAGAGAATCAACATCTTCAGTGGCATATATCCAGATGTCCTCTTTCCTGTTTCCAGGATCTCACTCAGGTTTTTCCCACAGCACCCTGACCTTAGCCTAACAGAGCTCCTTTGGCTGAGTATTTAGATGTCTCTGGAACTTGCAAGTGTAACAAATAGATTTTCTGCCTGCCATTCACCTGTGTCTGACATGCAACAATGTCTGATAAAGGCCTCTTTATAAGTACCACTGGCACTCTGTGGCTGGCAGGTATAGGGAGTAACTGCTTGGCAACAGCCTCCGATCTCTTATCACCCTTCTACAGGGCATCAACAAAACTTAGCAGTAATCAGCGAACTCCGCTGACTCTAAATGCCTGCTTTATTGCATCTCTACCACCACATTCTCCTCTAGTGGGCTATTTTCCCTTGTCCCCATGAAATTTTTAGAACTGTACTGCCACCTTGTGGTAGGGACTCTCTGAGCCCTTTTTTTCCGACAAGGATCCTGTCCTCCTTGCTTCCAGACCAAATCCACATCTTACTACCAATTTACCTATAACACTTTCAGTATTACTTGTTTTATTCTGGATCTTCTGAGAAGCAGATGCCAGGACAGAACTAAATGCGCATTGATTTTATTAGGAGAAAAGCCACTGTGAAAAATGGGGAGAAAGATGAAAAGGCTGAGAAAGCTGGCCAACATGGAGTAAGTCTGACCCCAAGAGAAGGCGAGAGGGAGATAAAATTGAACAGTAGCAGCCTGAGAGTCACACACTTTAAGGAGGGTCTATTCAAGTAGGGAAGTTTCAGCGGGACTGTTGGGGAGTTCTTAAGCCAGAGGCAGCTGTCAGAGGAGTCCTGAGTCATCCAGGATGGCCTTTCTTCATATCTCTATCGAGATTCTACCATTGGTTGGAATCATGGGCAGGGTGGTCTTGACAAAAATGTGCAGCAGCTCAGACCCATTACCACTCATGCTCCTTGTAGTAGGAGGACTGCAAGGAACATTCTTGTGGCTATCACTCATGACACTCAGTTTATGCACATATGTGCACCCAGGGTGCCCAACTTTTAGAAATGGCTGTAGGCCTTGTCAATGCAGCAATGGCACTCTTCCAATGTCCATGTACCTCAGAAATTTGTTTAGCATCCAACTCACAAACTAGCAAACTGATACTACAGGGACTTGTGAGTGAAGGGATTGGAGGGAAGTCTTAACCAAATCAATGACCACAGCCTTGTCAGAGGGTGCTTTAGGTCTTCCATCCTGGGACCCATGGCAGGCTTATATCGAGTCACAAATGTCACAACCTTAGTTTTTTCCATTTCATATGTGGTAGGGACAGTAATGCTCACCAAATATCCCACAAGTTCTCCTGATGTTTTTCAGCCTCCTTTTAAGTTAGGGTTATGTGACTCGATTGAGTCAATGCACCATGATAATAAGTTATTTGTATCACTGCCAGTTAGATGTATAGTGGACAGGTATGTGTTTTCCACACTTTCTTCGGTTTGTTGGCAATCATGGAGTCATGTGTTAAGAATATAGAGCTGCAAGACTAAAAAAGCCTGGAGGGCTAGTCATCAAACAGAGGACAGACTCGGCTGCCCAGAAAAAGTACTGTACCTGCACAAGATGACATAAATCATCATAGAATTTAACATGGTAGAGGTAAGTGATCATTCTTCCAGAGTAATTCCAGAAGAATGTCAGGTATCAAAACCTGTCTGCAATAGACTTTAAGCCATGAGGAAATGGTGTTGCATTTTGATTTCTGAGAATTTACATCTATTACTAAATGAAGAGTTCATACGACAGTGTATCAGCATAACAGCACATATTTTGACTGATACAGAATTACTAAGCCCTGCATTTCCTAAATAGGAATAAATATCCTCAAAGTATTACATGACTGCATGATTTCCAAATTTTCACTGGCCTTTCACACAATTTGTATGGAATTATGAGTAATAGAGATGTTTTCTCCAGGAGACAAAACATTTTATTTCAGCAGCATCCACCTAGCTACAGCATCCATCTCCTTTTCAAATCAAAAAACAAAATAATTTTCCTGCAAGACATTTCTACTCTATCTTTGCTGGATCATATGGTAGTTTGAGTTCTAATTTTTTGAGGAGCTATCACAATTTTTTTGTAAAACAGCTTCACCATTTTGTATTCCCATCAACAGTGTGCAACAATTCCAATTTCTCCACACCTTCACCAAAACTTGTCTATTTTTTTTTATGAGAGCAAAATTTCTTGCCAGCTGGTATGAACTGGCTCTAGCACACCACTGCCAAGGTTGCTGCTAAAGAGGAAGATCCAGGTTCTGTAGGTCCCAAACTATATAAAACTTGATGAACTCTGAGAAAAAGAATACAAAATTTAAGGTCCTAACTTTGAAAAGAGCCCTATTCAAGTAAGTGGCCCTGATGCTTTTCCTTCCTTAGCTCCATGATAAATCTACTCTTGGTAAACAAGTGTCTCAAGAGGCTAACGTGGATATACAGCTTTCAAAGAGGAGAAGCAGTTAACAAGAGGAGACTGAGTCAGTACCACTGGGGCAAGTCACAGGCTAGCTGAAAGCTAGGAGTTCTGAAGAGAAGGAGGGATTTTGGACTGAAGGAGGAAGATTCAGGTCAACTTAAGGAGCATAAGGGGAAATGGAACACTCTATCCTTGGGTCATGAGACTGAAATAGCAGCGCCTCTTGGCATCATGAGATGAGGATCTTAAGCTGCTTTCACCTGATTCAGAGCCTCTTCTGGATTCAAGTTGCAGTGGATAGGGTGGAAGTTGAGACTGAAAATACAGAGAAAACATCAGACATAATTTAGGTGATTCAAGGGCAGATGATTTATTATTTCATATTTTAAACCCTCAGCAGTGACGACAGATATGAGGGTGAAATTATTTTTCCCTTCTTGGTTTAGGTCAGTTTCTGATGACTTATTTGGTAATGTCCTTCTTCCAGGCCAAGGTTGTTAGAGACTGTTGCTGTAAGAGAAAACAAAATAAAACACAACACAAAGTGCCAGTGTTGCTTTATTTTTCCTTTTTCTTTCTTTCTTTTTTCTTTTCTTTTTTTTTTTTTAGCACTAATATAGGTAATTTAAAGGGCATGGTTAACTGAAGGGAAAGGATCAGGAAAATAAAAATTAATTCCAGAAAAAACAATTATCTGTTACCTCAACTGTTACCTCAGCTCTTAGTTTTATAATAGAAGTGGCTTCCTGAAATTCCCTAACCTGTTCATTTGTCTATATTTGGAAACTATTTAGGTCAATAAAACAAAGTGCCTTGCAATTTCCATTCTAAGTATATGAACTAATTTTAATTTGGAATAAAAAAGGAAAAATGTGATAATTCTAAGTAAAATATAAAAACACCAATATACATGCACACACCCATGTGTGTACATCTATATATTAAAATATTTTAACAATGATCATCTTCAGTGCTAAGATTAATGATTATTTCATTCTCTTGCATATCTATATTTTAAAATAAATGTTTATTTCTTGTTATAATTGTGATGAGATGCAGAATGATTCACACACTCATATACACATACAATTTATTGAATGAATTAAGAAAGGAAAATAAAGACTAGATCTGGGTAATTTCTTTTCTGGTATTTAAACTGAGACTATAAATGGACAATTGCTCTAAAATGTTTATTTATATAATAATGCTTATGGGGTGTTTGCTACAATGAAAAACAGAAAGTAGTCTAAATATTCATAATAATGGATTTTTAAAATGAATACGAAAAGTAAATAAATAATAAATAAATAAATTGAATATGATACATCACAAAATGATGACATGGGCCTATATTTTAAAATAGGCAAAGTTGTGCATAATACTTTTTAAGTAAAAAAAAGTATAAGTATTTTTATGTTTTACTTAGAAAAACATTTAAAAAGATATGCATCTACATTGTTAATGGAAATTTTCTTTGGGTATTGTGATTAAAAGAACCTTCTTAATATGTATATCTACCAAAGTATCTGAGATATTTTAATTAATATTTGATACTACATTTAAAATCAGAAAGATGTTTTTGAAAACAAAAAGCTCTATATTTTATTCATTGTTAGTAGTAACGTTTATCTGAATACCATTATGTGATTTTCATATGAATTTCAGAATCTTTTTCTCAATTCTCCCTATCCATGTATACAAAAAAATATTTTTATTGAGTTTATGTTAAATATACAGAAACCTGATACACATAGATTACTGAGTTGGAAGAGAAGTGAAGATTTAAACTTAAAAGTATAGCAAACGGAGGAGAGGAGGAGCAAGATGGCGGAGGAGTAGGAGACCTAAATTTCATCTGGTCCCAGGAATTCAGCTGGATAGGGATCAAACCATTCTGAACACCTACAAACTCAACAGGAGATCGAAGAAAAGAATAGCAACAACTTTCTGAACAGAAAAGCGACCACTTACTGGAAGGTAGGACGTGTGGAGAAGTGAATCCGAGGCGATATTTGGGAAGATAGACGGTGGGGAAAGGGGCCTCCATCTGCCGCTTCTGGCAAGTGATAGAGCAGCGGAGCACAAAATCGGAACTTGGCTCCACTGAGGGATGTCACTCCAGTGGCTAAGCGGGGGGTGAAATCCTCGCAGGACAGTGTGGTCTCAGGAGCCTCGGGGTCACAGAAAGACGGGGGTGCCTGAGTGTGGCAGAGCTCCCAGGTATCAGAGCAGGGAAGCCGGCTGCAGAGAGGGAGCCGAGGAGCAGGCTCTCAGCTCAGGGTTGCTATAAACTGTGATCCGCGGCCCAGTCGGGCCACTGCTCCTCCAGCAGGGACCCAACAAGCGGCAGATCCGGGGACACTCCCCTTCCTCCCCCGGGGGAGCGGCGCGGGAGCGCACCGCAGGGATCTGCTGGGTTTGGAGACTCCACACGGGGTCGGGTGCCAGAGATAGAAACGCTCGGTCACAGGCCGGGTGAGCACGGAGTGCGGCCGGAGACCGGGGACGAGTGATTGACTGCTTTTCTCTGGGGGTGCACTGAGGAGCGGGGCCCCGAGCTCTCGGCTCCTCCGAGGGAGATTGGGAGGCCGCCATTTTCACTCCCATCCTCCAAAGCTGTACCCAGAGCTTGCAGGGAACAAAAGCGCCCGAAGAGTAAACCTGAGCAGATTACTTAGCCTGAACCGGCAAGGGCGGGGCAATTCCGCCTCCGGCAAAGACATTTGGGAACCATGGCAACAGGCCCCTCCCCCAGAAGATCAGCAAGAACAGCCAGCCAAGACCAAGTTTACTGATCAGTGAGAACAGCAGAACTCCAGCGCTAGGGGAATACTCCACATAGAATTCATTTACTTTCCCAAATGAGTTAAGGTAGTAAAATGAGTGAATATTCCAAGCCTTTATCTTACTAACAGTAATTTTTTTCTGAGATAATATAAGCATAAGTGATATCCCTTATAATATTAGTCCTCTTTGTATTTGGCAGTAAAAGGTCCTTAAGATATAAATGCTCCTTACCAATGCTCAAAACAAAAATCCCACAAAGTATGTGATTATTGATGCTTGTGTATGTACACAAAAATCACTCCTTTAGTATAGGTTGGGGAGGAGAGGTTGAGATATCATGAAAACAAGTTTTATTGTTTATAACAATAAATAACAGTGAAAACCATAAAACATATTATGAACAAATGTTTTGGTTTCAAATTAACAATTTTTTAGTGCTCCTAAACAATGATCAAAACATGCAATGCACCAAAAAAAAAAAAAAAAATTACAATGCACAATGGCTAATCACATTGTTCTGGACTCACCTTACAGTGGGGGATAACTTGCTGTTACTGCTGCTTTCTTCTGACACAGATCTATGAAATTGACAAAATTTAAGTGGAGAAATTTAAAAATCTGGAACAACTAAGTGGCTATTTGAATGAAGAATATTTTTCAAAGAAACAGTGATTCATTAAAATGTCTCCCTCCAACAAAATAAAACAGATACTGTTCTTTTTTTTTTTTTCTTTAAGTAGATTAACATACAGTGAGTGTTATATTAGTTTCAGGTGTACAATATAATGGTTCAACAATTCTATACATTACGCAGTGCTCATCTAGGTAAGTGTACTCTTAATCCCCTTCATCTCTTTCACTTATCCGCCTCACCCACCTCCCCTCTGGCAACCAGTTTGTTTTCTATATTTAAGAGTTTGTGTTTTTGTTTGTCTTTTTTTTAATTTTGTTTGTTCCTTTGTTTTATTTCTTAAATTCCACATATGAGTGAAATCATATGGTATTTGTCTTTCTCTGATTGATTTATTTCACTTAGTATTATACCCTCTAGGTTCATTCATGTTGTTGCAAATGGTAAGATAGCATTGTTTTTATGGTTGAGTAATATTCCATTGTGTATATACACCACATCTTCTTTATCGATTCATCTAAAGATGGATGCTAAATATTAGAAGAAATGCCATCATCCATTTGCTTTGTTGATTAACTCCTCTCATCTTCATTTTACATTTATTCAGTTATTTATAGGACAACATTTGTATAGACATGCCCTCTGATTCTATGACACCTGTAATTCCTCAGGTCAAATTAAGCCAAAACCTTAAAGTGGCAGTCAAAATTTAAGTTAATTTTTCTATAAATTTCTATTTTTTTTCTTTCTCTCATAACACATATTTGTGTCTTCTCTTCCTGTCATTTCCTGGAAGTTAAAACTAGAGGTAAATACTTCTGTGGGAAAATACAGTAAATTATGAATAAGGGGCTTAATAGCTATATCTAAATATTTATGTAACTGATTACAGATAATGTGGTGATTTCACTTACTGATTTGGTATATCCAAAAATTTATGATACATTGGAAAGCTATTATTATCTCCCATTTTATAGAGTTATAGAGAATAATTTTAAGAACGTAGAGATTAAATCACTTGCTCAAGGTATTATAGTTTCTGCATGCAAGATTTAGGATTTAAAACTAAGTTTTCTGAGGCTAAATGTAATTTCTTTCCCATTTCATGATGCTGCCTCCCGTCTCATAGCCTGTGTTTTGAACTACACATGTAATTTCTGGTTAAGAAATGACTTTACAAATAGTAGCATAAATACTTAGGAAAATAAATATTTTGGAAGCAGGTTCATAAATACCATTATTTTCAGTTGAGAGAGCTATTCTAATAGAGTTGTCTGAGAACTTGTATCTAAAAAATTTATCTTTTGAAAGTTCCCTTTAAATGCAGTGTTATATATTCTCAGAAGCCTTTGGACAGTAGACTAGTAATAAGACTATTTAGACAGTGTTGGCTGACTAAGAGGCTGAATAAATCCCCACTATACTCTTGGCAGTCGTATCTCCTCTTCAAGTGATACTAATGGTAAAATGAATGGTTTTACTAATGAGTAAAACTAGAAAAAAAATGGAGGACATCAAACTGGTTTGAAATGTGTCCCTGGACCTCTCCTCATATTGTTCTACCTACAGTCTTAGATTATTCCTGACGAGACATGAGTACTTTTTTCTTGACTCATTGAATTTAGTAAGAATAAACATGTATATACCTCTCACTTTCAGTTTCCTCTCTGTAGCACAGCTCTCTTATTTTATTCTGCTTTATTAAAACAATGGCAGTGATGATGAGCACAGGTAGAGAAATGTAGAAAATGAGTAGAAATCGGTGTTTTGAAGGAGTGGTATTTTGTTCCCTCAAGTAGCTTTTACCTATAATGGAAAATAACCATCTCACATTATGTTAGAGATTGTATTAACCAAACAAAAATGTGGAGAGGATATCATTACCAACATTATTCCCAACACTAAACTTTTCACTCACATATATTATAAATATAATAAATATTAAATATTAAATTAACATATAAAATGGACTGTTACTAGTGCTTTACTGATGTCTATGAGTTTTCAACATTACATCATATAGTGATTTGTTTGACTGAAGATAATCTTTCATAAGCACATGTTTAATACCTACAAACATTTCTTCAATTTCTTTCTGATATAACTTATCCAAAATTTAAACATGTATATCACAGAGAGTATTGGGATTGTACCTAAATATGAGAATTAAATCTGGGAAGTGTGGCATTTAATTTCTCTTACATTACTAAAATATTTTTCTAAAAATTAATAGTCACTAAATAACTTAATTATTTAACTAAGTCCTTTAGTCAAATATATAGCAATAGGAAATTGTTAAAGTGGCTCTATAATTTGTAGAATGCATGGCTAAGTATGGCTTTGACCCATTCCTTTCCAACTAATGTTAATGTCACATTTTTCTCATGGGTTCTTTTTTTTTTTTAAGATTTATTTATTTGAGAGAGAGAGAGCACGTGCGTGTGCCTGCAAGTGGTGTTGGGGGGGGCATACAGAGAAAGAGAGAGAGAGAAAATCTCCAACAGACTCCCCACTGGGTGCAGAGCTGATGCAGGGCTTGATCTCAAGACCCTGAGATCACAACCTAAGCTGAAATCAAGAGTCTGATGCTTAACCAGCTGAGCCACCCAGGTCCTCCTCCTCATCAGTTCTTATTCTCAGTTGACATCTGTTTTCATTCCTGAGCATTTGATCTACGTGGCTCCTCAACTTCCACCTCTTTGTACATATCAGCCACCTATCTGGGTTTATAATGTATCAAACTCTGCTTTCTCCACTATTTATTAGCATGTTCTTGTTGTTGTTGTTTTAATTTGGTATAGAATGCTGTTCTATCACTTCTCTGCCAGTTGAAACAATGGGGAAGCTGACAGGTAGAGGAGCCACCCCCCAGCTACAGTCATGCATGATCATGGTTCAATGTTCTCCTCTTGGAACTGCCCCAGTGCTTCACAAGATAAAACTTGTGAGCAATGAAACTGGATAATTAGCTGAGGAGATTTCTAAGCGAAATGTTGAAGGTACAGCTCAGGTCCTCCCAACTGCTTACAGTAAATGTGAGAGTGGACTGATGAGTTGAAGAAGTGTTAATCAGAGAGATACCAGACCTTAGAGACCTGGAGAATTCTCAGCCAAACCATTGCAAAAAATGAGGAAACATGTTTTAGAGAGAATGCCCAATGTGTGGCTGGAAAGTCATGTGATATTGAGATTATTACATCTTAGCAGCAATCTCAGCAGAAGCAAGGAATAGGGATGAGATCCATGAAGGCAGAAACACTGCCAGGTTGGACCAAAGGGAATAGAATGGCACAATACAGCTATTTGGCTGCCAATATACTTCATTCAAGAAAAGAGAATGCTCCAAAGGTGATTAAAAGATCATCAGGGTTTTCTCACCCATCACAGGCCCAAGAGCTTCCTTCCTTGATTTCAGCTAGGCTGCCCCAGCCCAGTGCCTGGGAGACAGGGAGGCTGCAAAGTGTTGTGTGGGCAGGGCCAAAGGGGTGGGAGAGATGTCACTGAGGACTATGGGATGATGCTGCCACTACAGTGCGCTTGGAGGACAGAATATCAAGCCAAAGAGGTTATTCTTGAAACAAAAATCTAATGATCTTCCCTGTACCTCTGAAACAAATAATACAATATGTTAAAAAAAAAAGAAGAAGAAGAAGATAGCAGGAAGGGAAAAATGAAGGGGGGGAATCGGAGGGGGAGACAAACCATGAGAGACGATGGACTCCCGAGAAACCAACTGAGGGTTCTAGAGGGGAGGGGGGTGGGGGGATGGGTTAGCCTGGTGATGGGTGTTAAAGAGGGCACATTCTGCATGGAGCGCTGGGTGTTATACGCAAACAATGACTCATGGAACACTACACCAAAAACCAATGATGTAATGTATGGTGATTAACATAACAAAATTTTTTTAAAAACCTAATGGAAGTTAGCTTGCTAGGTTTTGTATTTACTGGGATCTGTCATCCTGTTCTTCTTTCCAATTTCTTTCTTTCAGAATGAGAATATCTATCCTATGCCTGTCTCACTACTGTTTTTTGGAAGCACATAACTGGTCCGGTTTTATGGGCTCAAAACAGGAATTTTGCTTCAGGATAAATCGTACGTGAGTCTCACGTGTACCTGATTTACATGATACTTAGATGAAACTTTGTATTTGGAATCAGTGCCAGAATGGGTTAAGACTTTTGGAGCTGCTGAAATGGGGGTACCTGTATTTTGCATACAAGGAGGACATGAATTTGAGAGGACTATGGGATGGAATTTTATGGACTGAATTGTTCCCCAAAATTCATATGATGAATTGAAGCCCTAATACTCAGTGTGATGGTACTTGGAGAGAAGACCTTTGGGAGGTAATTAGGGTTAAGTGAGGTCATAAGGGTGAGGTCCTAATCTGACGGAATTAGTTAGACCAAAGAGTACTCTCTCTCCACATACACTGAGGAAAAGCCATGCAGGGACTCAGCAAGAAGGTGATCATTTGCAAGCCAGGAAGAGAGTTATCAGAAAACAAATTTACCAGCACCCTGATCATAGATTTCTAGCCTCCACAGCTGTGAGAAAATTAATTTCTATTGTTTAAGACACCCAGTCTGTGGTATTTTGTTATGATAGCTCAAGCAGATGAATACAGCGTGTTTTCATGAAAATATAGATGAGGTTGTTTAGTGCCCAGAGCATTCCTTAAAGGGAGAAAGAAATAGCCGTGGAACTCCTATTAAAACTTTCCTTCCCAGAAACATTCACTACCTAATAGTCTAGAGAACTTCAGGCTAAAAGACAAGATGGTTTAGTATTAGAAAATCTTCAAAGGCAATACAAAAATAATATAATCAGTTAATAAATGTCATAAACATATTTAATAAAACCCAAAAAACATTCCTGATTTTAAATACAATTGGAAGAGATAAATATTTTCTCAATAAGATAAACATATTGAATCAAAAGCAGCATCCTTTTCATGATAAAATATTAGAAGTTTTCCTAGGAGCAAAATAATGATCACCTCTTTTGTGATTATTTCCTTTTATTCTGAATGGATTGCCCAGGGCAATTATGAGAAGGGGGTGGAGATTAACCAAAGAAGAGGAAATAAAGAAATTATTATTATTAAAAAGGTGTGGAAAAATTTTTAATTGCAGTTACACCAGTTAACTGCCTTAAAAGCTAAAAGACTTTTGAAAATAGTGATAACCCATCGATAAAATGCATGCAAAAAAATCTGTAGACTTCCTATATGTAAAAAGTAACAAATTAAAAATACAATGACAGAGAGACCTTCTAATAACAACTTTCTTTTTTTTTAAGATTTTATTTATTTATTTGGCAGAGACAGAGCACAAGTAGGCAGAGAGGCAGGCAGAGGGAGAGGGGGGAAGCAGGCTCCCTGCTAAGCAGGGAGCCTGACATGGGGCTCGATCCCAGGACCTTGGGATCATGACCTGAGCCAAAGGCAGCTGCTTAACCGACTGAGCCACCCAGGTGCCCCTGATAAAATTTTCAACAAAATGATAATATTCTTAAAAATGAAAAAGGTAATTTCTGATCCATAGATCATTCTATACCTATAGAGAGATCAAAACCAAAATGAGTTATCAGCTTACACCCATCAGGATGGCTACTATTTATAAAACAGAAAATAACAAGTGTTGGCAAGGATGTGGAGAAACTGGAATCCTTGTGCACTATTGGTGGGAATGTAAAATAATGCATATTACCATATTATCTAGCAATTCCACATCTAGGTATATACCCCAAATTATTGAAAGCATGGACTCAAACAGATACTTAAACACCCATGTTCATAGCAGCAGTATTCACAATAACTAAAACTTGGAAGTAACCCAATTGTCCATTGACAGATGAATGGATAAGCAAAATGTAGTACATACATGTAATGGAATATTATTAGCCTTAAAAAGAAAGGGAATTATGGTGCCTGGGTGGCTCAGTTGGTTAAGCGTCTGCCTTCAGCTCGGGTCATGATTTCAGGGTCCTGGGATCAAGCCCCTCATCAGGCTTCCTGCTCAGTAGGTAGTCTGCTTCTACCTCGGCTCCTCCCCCCACTTGTGCTCTCTCAAATAAAATTTTTTGAAAAAAGTTTTTTAAAAAGGAATTATGACAGATGTTCCAACATGAACTTTAAGGACATTGTGCTAAGTAAAATAAGCCAGATACAACATGACAAATACTGTGTGATTCCACTTATATGGGGTCTCAGTAGTGAAATTCATAGACACAGAAAGTAGAATGGTGGTTGCCAGGAGCTAGGGGAGAAGGGATTGGGGAGTTATCATTTAATGAGTATACACTTTCAGTTCTGCAAAATGAAGAGTTCTGGAGATGGATGGTGGTTGCACAACAATAGGGCAATGTCACTGAATTATAGACTTAAAAATGGTTAAAATGGTAAATTTTAAGTTATGTGTATTTTACAAGTAATCATACATATATAAATATGTGTGTATGTTAAAGAGGGTGAAAAAAATTAGTAAAATAGATTGTCAAGGGTGATGAAAGAGCAATACACAACAGAATTATAAATTTCCCATAACCATAGGTGAATGGGAAGCTTCATGAAATTAAAGAGATGCAAATGGATTTCTTTTTACTATTAGTTTGTCATGGATTTAAAATATTGATAATAACTCCAAAAAATATTAGAAGTTTTCCTAGGAGTAATAACTTTTGAAATCAGGAATAATGTATAGTATTATTAGTGGTAATTTCTGGAGTTAGGATTACATAAAAATTTTGAAAGAAAAATCATAATGTGAAATTAAAATATACTCTAATTTTATATATGAAGT